GCTGGATCTGTGTACGGGGCGAGGGCGGGCTACCTGTTGTATGCTTGGGGCTGGGGCTGTGCCAGCCTCTTCCCAGTGGCAGGGCAGGGCAGGGCTAGGTCTGCACTTGAGCCAGGCGGAGATGGGGCAGGTGGGAGTGGTGCTGGGGGGGACTACAGCCACCCCCAAATTTGCCATAGCCCCCCTGTAGCTCCCCCTCTCCCAGCACTACCCCCACCTGTCTGTTCCAAGCACAGCCTGTCCCCCCACTGGGAAGAGGCTGGCGCAACTCCGGACCCAAGTGAACAGGAGGTAGCCTGTCCTTGCCCTGTGCGCAGATCCAGGGGGCACATGAGCTAGATGCCTCCCCTGGGGTGTACGCAGCATCCAGGAACTGTGCCCTCTCCCCCCCCAATGCCCACCAGACAAGCCACCTGCAGCTCTGTCCCACTCCCTCCCTCACTGTGGGGGCCTTGATCTGTCCCCCCCCTCACACCCTTCCCCCCCACAGACTTACCGGCCAGAAGCTGCTCTCCAAGCTGCCAGGCTGCATTCCTGGACATGTGCATGCTGCAACTACTGTGTTCATGTACATGGCATTTATTGGCAACATTATCAGCCACATCAGCCAGAAAAGGCTGACTGCTGATAATGTCAATTTTCCTTTTATTGGTGCCGATACGATATGGACTGATGTATCGCTGCACCTCTACTTAAAACTACTTTCTTTACAGTAACCCTTAATAGATTTGAAGCTGTCTCCTCCCTCTTTCTCTAAACTAGTCAAGTCCAATTCTTCCAAGCTTTCCACACAATTCACAAGACCTCTGATATTTTCCCCCCTCTCTTCTACACTTTCTCCAAGCAATCTGCATCTTTCTTGAAGTACCAAAAACTGACATGTCAATCCATCCAAGACTTTGCTAGTACTTCAGAACTTGGAAAAAATGTTTCACCTGTCTTGCATGTAATATTCCCATTTGTCATTCCCAGCACAGTGCTGGTTTTATTTATTAGCAACAGCACAACACTGCTGACTTACTGTCAATTTGTGATCTACTGTAATAATTAAGTGCTTCTCTGCAGAACTGCTGCCCAACCAGTTCTTTCCCAAATTGTATTTGTACACTTGATTATGCCTGAAGAAAGCAAGTTGAGTTTCATCCCATTTGTTTCAGACTGTTCTGCCAGTTTACCAGGACCATTCTGAATTCTAGTCCTGTCCTCTTAAAACCCTTCCTAGTTTATTTAGAAAATGAAATTTCCACTTCTAAATGATGGATAGACTTTATAAGGGCTTGACAGTTATTACAATAACCCCCCTGGAAAATGTTAAATTAACAGTGTGATGGGATCTGAGAAATCTTATCCCAGATCCCAAAAATTATGTGTACTACCATGTTGGACAGGATGCATGATTGAAAGGATCTGAGATAGCCCCAGCCCATGTGTTGCCAGGTGCCTACACCACAGTGTAAAAAGAGTGTGTGCAGCTGGTAATGGAAAGAACTCCCAGTTCCCAGCTGCATACACCACACTGGGGTACATGCCAGCTACCTGTGCAATGGACAGGGCATCAAGCTGCAGCATGGCTTTAAATGATATTTACCATATTTACAGGAATCCAAGACAAGGTGTGTCCCACCTGCCCCCTCTTTTCCCCCACTATCCAAACAGCGCAGGGGGGAAAAATAAAAGCCTTGTTGTCTGAGATTTAACTACCACCTGCCCTGAGCTGAGCCCCAGGCTGGGGCAGCTTGTGCTGTGAGGGTGGGGGTGTGCATACAGGGGAGCCCCATGGGGGGAGGGGAAAGGGGGAGAGCATGCAGGTGATCGATCCCACCTGTATGGCTTGGGGGAAGCCATACAGGTGGGACTGCTGAGTGTCCTAAAGCTGAAGTAGAGCAGAGCAGAGCAGCAGAAGATAAGTGGCATGGGAGTGCAGGGGTTGGAGGGAGGGGAAACAGGAGCATGCAGCAAAGGGACAAGGTGGGGAAGAGGCAGGCCCTGCTCTTGGGGGATAAATTTATATTTCCATTAATTATATTCTATACATGGAAAATTTAACAAATTTATTTTCCATGTATAAAATCTAATTACTGGGGGAAATCATCTCAAATTTAAAGTCACTTTGGATTCAGATAAATGTGGTAATGTAGAACATCTTTGTAGCTGGTTTGCTATTTTATTATGTCATAAATTGGTCAAATGTGTGGCATCTTACAATTTAACACATTACTCACACCATAAATGTAACGTCTGCCAGTACCCTTTCAATAAGGAAACCCTCTGAAATAATCTTTGGCCTACCCAAAATTGGCTCTGAAGAAACCAAAGGGAGATTCCAAATGAAACAGTAAACCCCTCTGGTACTGTGTAAGCTGGTATCAAACATGAACCAGTGTGTTTCAAGCTTAACGGTCAAGAAATCAAGTGAAAAGACATAATGGGCATCAGTTATGACACCGATAACCCTTGTGTTGAGAATGCTGGGATCAAGCAGGTTGGCACTAAGCTCACAAGCTCGATAACCCTTGTGTTGAGAATGCTGGGATCAAGCAGGTTGGCACTAAGCTCACAAGCTCTGAAAGCACCAATAACAAGTGTGATGGTGACAACAGCTTTAACACCAAACTTAGAGGGTATTTGAACAGAACCCTTTCCACAATCACTGGAGGAACTGAGAAGTAAGATCTCTCTGCTCAGGCAAGAGATGGACCAAAATTTAATCTTTAAATGCTATTTTCTTAATGGGTTGGGGGAATGACTTCTTTCTCTTGGGACTTTTTGAAAAGCTTTTCTACTTTAAGGAACACACAACACCAGCAGAGTCTCCCTATGCCTGACGAAGAGAGTTTGTGCCCAAAAGGTTGCAAAGAACTTTTATCCAACTATTTAGTTGGTCTAATAAAAGATATCGGATTTACCCAAAGAACCTTGTCTGCCTATGTCCTAAGACCAACACGGATACAACCAACAACCCAAACCCACAGACATGAATCCCAATAGGAGACTAAACTGCCTTACAAAGGGAAAAGAATAGAATTCTAAAACCCAGTTTAGCAATAGGTTACTATAGCTACACTAAAACTAATTAAAAAGAAAATGCAAAATAAAACAAGTCATGCCACAATCAGCAAGTGGACATTACCAGCGATCTCCATTCTCTCAGCCAGAACAGTGAGAAGGAACTGAAGGTTTGTTGGTTGCTGTGCAACTTTTTATGTCCTCAGTGAAAAGCACTGCTCCAGAACATCCAAACACACACAACTGAAGTGGCCATATGTAACACAATCACTTGAAAGGCCAGAAGTCGCTATCCAACAGCCGTTCATTTAGCTGTTCTAAATGAGTTAAAAGTTTCATTCCAATTTCTAGTGTATAAGCATCAAGAGCACAGAAAAAAGACTACACAGTGGGTGCTGAATTTGCTTAGCATCTTTGAAGAATCAGATAATCTATATTTTACAAGGGGTGCATCACACGTGCCATTAAGGTGAATTGAAAAATTCAGGCACAGTTTGCACCGAAGAAAACTGCTCCCAGACACAGCATTTACATGTGTGCCCGGGACCACAGCAGTTTGAGCTGGGGTGGACCAGCCCCAGGTTGGTAGGAGGTCCAGGGGGTCAGTCCACAAAGCTCACGTGAAAGGGTCCCAGGCATACAAGATCATCCATAGCATATTGCATTCCAGCTACAACCTCTTCCCCTGAAGCACAGGTTGCTACATTTGTATTCATACAGAACCACATAGATGGACCCAGGTTGTATGATAATTTATTTCATGGTAAAGAGGCAAACTGGGGCTCCAACTACTAATCTGAAACCATTATGTAACAAAAAAAGTTGAGAGAAAACAGTAGAGAAGGCAGAACTAGAGGCAATCAATAGCAGTTATACACATTATTTTTATGATCTCACTGTGAGCCCAGCTGTCCACTTTCAACTCTCCCTGTATCTTAAAAAAATAATTAAGTATCCTAAAAACAGAAGCTCTTAGTTTAGTTTCCAAGATAAGCAGTAAGTTTGAGCACCATCCTTTGGCTATGAAGTACTAGAGAAAGGGTGGGTAAATCTGTGTGACAGCTGCATGAAGCTGAAGAGTGAAATAGAAAAAAAAAGTGCAGGGTGACTTAGCCAAGTTCAAACTAACAAATTAAAATGATAGCAGTAACATGAATTCTAAAGCAAAAAAAAACAAACAAAAAAACCCTCTCCCCTTAGTATTTATTAAGATTTCTACTGATGCCCATGTGTAACACAGTCCCTTAAATTCTTTTAAATAACTTTTTATTAAAATAACAAATTAAAGATTTAAAGACACCTAATTTTGATAAAGCACATTAGCTACTAGTGATACACTTCTTCAATAACAGAACTCCAGAGGACCACAACAAGACCCTATTGATGTTTTCCCTGCTGTGGCTTATTGAAGTAAGTTAAACAATTAACTCCCACAATTTTTTGAGAGCTCTGCCAAGTATTAAAGAACTTCCTCAATGCAGCTGACATGGAAAGTTTAGACAAAAGTCTGTAACCATTTAAGTTAGGTACAGATGTTCAAAAGGCCCAAGGGAATTGATCCAAGTCACATGGGGGAGGGGTTTTGTAATGGTGTAGTTTAGATCAGTAGCTAACAGAACACGCATTGACCCTTTGGTGGGGGAGGCAAATGTTGGACCAGGTTCTGTCATTTTTAAACCAGTCTGTGCACACTGAATTTCTGTTCTGTTATGAGTATAAACTGGTTTCTGATCACTTATACTAATAAAAGGGTAATGTCTCTACCTGGCCTTAGTGTGGAACATCATCAGAATATAGGTGTTTCTCTCTTTACTGGCTCAAGTAACTTTGGAACAAGTTCATACCTATGTTTAATGGCTGGTGAGGGTAGGGTGAGGCAAATGGTGAGCTTCTTTAATTTATATACTTAAACACATATGCAATTAGGGAAGCATGTGGGGTTGAATGAAACTATCCAAGACAGATTTGCACCCAAAGCAAGTAAAATTTGTTACCTGGAGATACTTCCTCTTTCTGTCTGACTGTGTGATCCTTTGTGAATTTAACTCTTTGATGAGCTCTGATACAAGTCTTACACAACCATTCTACACATTCCACACAAAAACCATTTGCTTCTGCATTGTCTTCACAGCTTGTACAGACCTAATAAGAAAAATACAAAAGTCACTAGGAAAAATAAAACATACAGACTGTTGATGTGTCATCTGTTAACTTCTAGATAACAATGAATCAAAAAAGAATAGAACTGCCCCTCCCCACCACAAAACACTCTGCCTAACTGTATCCAAATAACCCTTTTAGTTAAAAGTTCAAAATGACTTTCAAGAAAATAGCCATATACCGTAGTTAATTTTTAAAATAATATTTTCTTGGCCAATTATAAAAAACAAGATATTCCATTCTACTGGACATCATATATATTTAACAACCTATTCTTGTTAAATATTTAGGTACAGAAAGACTAGGTTCATTCTTCATACTTTAGGAACCTCTTTCAATGCATTTTCCAGCGTGGTTATGCTTCTAGGGAAACATCTTGGTAATAAGCACCATGCATCTCTTCATGACTCTCTATGAAGATACTCAATTTAGAACATTAAACTAGAATATAGACACAGCTTTAAATGTTTTTTCTACATAACTCAAGGTAGCAGGCAGCTCGTGAATGCTGAGATGCTAGGGAGGATGAAGAGTCCCACAGGAGCACAGGGGGGTGGTCCCCAGTGTGCTCAGCAGCAGACCCAGAAATGGATCAGATGCACTTCCGGTACACTTCTGGGTCTGCTAGAGGAGTGCAAATAGGGCCCTCCCCTGCACCCTCCCCGGTTCGTTGACAGGTACCTCCTGGGTCTTGGTACCTGGACCACTTCCAGGTTTGCCGCTGAGCACGTCCCCCCCCCACCGCGCTCCTGTGGGAAGCTCAATCTGCCCCACCATCACAGCATTCACAAGCCACACCTGGCACCTCGAGGTATGTAGAAAAAACATTTAAAGCTGGGTCTATGGCCGAATCACTGATTCTCCAAATCAGAATCAAATCTTCAGATTCAGATTCGGCCAAATGGAATCGGGATAGTTATCTGAATCAACAAATTGAATCACTGCCCACATTTTGAGCTGAATCTGAATCGAATACAGTCTGTTCTGCACACCCCTAGCAGCCACCATCAGTTCAACCACTACATTAACTCTGCTCCAAGCAGCAGCTTCAAGCTGCCTAGAGCTCCGACTGGTGGAATTATACTGGTAGGAACAACCATATGTTTCTAATTTAGGAAGAATTCCCAAAAAGAAAACTCTAGAACAGAGGTTCTCTAACTGCAATCTGTGGATCACCACTGGTCCACGAGCTCCATTCAGGTGGTCTGCACAAAGGTGACCTAAGGCTAAAGCTGACGAACATTACACCCGACTTCCCAGAACTTTGCTCAAGAAAACAGCCACATCCATTGCATTAGAAAAGTAAGACTACTGATATTAAAATATGAGTTGTGTGCTTTGATTTGTAGGGGAAAACATGTTTAAGTGGTCTGCCGAGACCCTCAGCAATTTTCAAGTGGCCCACACAAAAAAAAAAAAAAAGTTTGAGAACCACTGCTCTAGAGGACTATTCAATGCCCCAATATTCCAAAATTACTGGCCACACTGGAAAATGTGGAGGAAATTATTAAATTTTATAGAATTAGAAACATTATTCATAATTTGGTTTTGATGCAACCATTCAATAAGTTGCAAAAAATAAATGAGCTATACCTTTATAGTAGTTAGAGTGACTGCCTATAACTAAGGATCTACCAAACTCGCAACTGTGTGATTTTTGTGGAAACCATGATTTTAGGTGGGCTCCATGCTTTTGGCAGGCTCAATGCAACCCCCCCCAAAAAAACAAAACAAACCTCAGCCAAAATCCAAAACAAACAAACAACCCCCCCCATCCCCTAACACTTACAAATAAGAAAAAAAAAGCACATGGGAAGCCCTGCAGTCTTGGAGCATGGGGTGGGGATGCAGGGCTGTCTCTGTAGGGGATGGGGTTATACAAATAATGGAATGAGGAGTGATTCCCAAAATGGGTCAGGGGGAGAGGGATGGAACGGGACAGGGTTGTGAAATGATGGAATGAGGGGCAAGGAAACAAGTGGGAGTGTAGGACTGGAGGCAGGGTTATGCAAATGAAGGATCGGGGCTATGGAAGGGAGGTGGGGTTATGCAAAATGACAGGAAACAGAGACAGGGCTGCTTCCCCCCCCACCTTACCAAATACTCCAAGATCACAGAGCTTCCTGCATGCTTTTCTCCTTGTTGGTAAGTTTATTTCTTCTTTTTTTTGCACCAAGACTGCCAAAAGTGTGGAGCTTGCCACTGGGGGATGGCCTGAAACCTCAGCTTAATCACCCTGGAAGCCAATTAATCTACGCTTAATAAGATTTGAATTAATGCATTCCCTGGGCTTAATCAGGGTAATTAAGATGCAGTTTTGGGCCATGTGGCAATCTGTGGGAAAGGGCAGGACTGCTGGGGCTCCTCAGCCAGAAGTGTGGGGGGCCCTACCGCTCTCAGCCCATGATTATGATGACCTGCTGTATGATCTGCCCATGAAATTGGTTAGCTGCCTCCTCAACTTTGGTAGACCCCTACTTATAACCTGAAAGGGTCCCAGGCATACAAAATCATCCATAGCATATTCCATTCCAGCTACAACCTCTTCCCCTGAAGCACAGGTTGCTACACTTGTATTGATACAGAACCACATAGATGTAACAGTTGCATAACAGCTTGTATTAGTATCATTTTATCATGACCCTCTATGTTAAGGGTCGCCATACAGCTTTTAACCCAGCTCTACTCCATTTGGAAGGCCCCTGTACTATAGGTACTTGCCAAAAACTTTTCATTAGTGTTAGTTATGTCTATGCCTTCTGATGCAGAAGCTTGAATATTACTAGCTCAAGGCATGGTTATGGACACAATAACAGATGATCCACGCCATCACCACAAAGCGTAAGGGGAACTTGGAGTA